AGTTGCTCCATGACTGCTTCTGCTTGAATCAATTCCATCATCAATTTCACCAACATGTCTCTCCATTGGATTGATACATAGTAAGTTCTGAATGGGTTCCATGATTTTCCCAACTTGGGCAAAACCCATCTGGCCATGCTTAGCCAGTCCTACTATCTACAAATGTTCTGGCTTCTACATATGGACCACAGTGCACAGGCAAGGCAATCAAAATCTGTTAGTCATGGGATGATCTGTCTGGTATTTTCAGCCATCTTAATAATTAATTGGGTAGCAACTGAATCAATAATTCCATGATCCAAGTTGGTTAGCAATGAGGCCAGACTTTCCTCAAAATGGGTCTAGTTGTTTTGATTTCTAGGAACTAGTCACAGAAATAGTGAAGTCTTTGCTTACTAGGTTCTCAAAAACCTTCATACAATGCAGCTTTGTGGACATAATTCATATGAGCATAACTGTCAGTAATAAGGGTGAAGAGCATTAAATCAACAACTAGGTACTTTGTTATTTATATGTATTAGTCATGTGTTAACTATGCCATTACCCTTATATAGGTGTTCTATCTATCTATGAATCTGTCTATCTACCTGGAGAGGTATATAAAGATCTTGAACATAAGGACAGACATTTTGATAGAATTGGGGGATATTTTTCTACATCTTTGTTTTATAAATAAAAAAAAAGAGTTTTCATGAGAATGACCTATGCTTATTCAGATATAAATATAAATAAATAATATATTATTTAGATATAAATAAATCTTCCATAGCTCCACTCCTTTTATCTACTGCCCTTTGCAGCCTGAAAGACCAAGACCTAGAAGAATTAAATGTCAAAATTTATATTAACATATATGTATATATGCTGTGCTGTGTTTAGTTGCTCAGTCGTGTCCTACTCTTTGCGACCCCATGGACTGTAGCCCACCAGGCTCCTCTGTCCATGAGGATTCTCCAGGCAAAAATATTGGAGTGGGTTGCCATGACCCCTATATAATTAGATACATTTACTTCCAAATGCCTCAATAATAGTCAAGAGTTAAAAAGGAATGTAGCATGTAAAAACCTTTAAAATAAAAGGATCAGCAAGAAAATAGATTGTAAAATTATTATTATTTAATTACAAAATACATCATGAATGCTCTTTTATTCCAGGAGATTTTTTCATCTGACAGAAGGCTTAGCCACCTCTTCGAGCAGAAGATCACTTCAATACCTGAAGATAAATATCTACCAGTAGCCTTTAAACAATGCTTGTCATGTTTGTCATTTATGAACCAGACTTATACATAAATTAAGTCTTCCCAAACTGTAGCCATGAATCAGAGTTCCATGAAATGTGCTATTGCAAAGACACTCTAGTGGGATGTTGCTATCAGTTCAATTGTTTTAATGATAAATTTCCTTTAGAAAATGGAAGGATCTGTTGACAGACAAAAACAGGCACTAACAATGGACTATTTAGACTTGCAAATGATGGAACATTTAATTATTCCAAAATAGCATTCCCCAGTTAGGGGTTGGTCATTAAATCCATCATCCTTCAGTGTATGTGCATGAAACATTCATCATGTCTTCCTCAAACAGGAGTCAGTCATCTAAATATAGATTTTTGGACCATCCATTTCAACATGACATTTCATCGAAAGCCTGGAATTCCATTTATTTTCTGTAACAGAGATAAAGTGTTTGTAAACGATGTGATAAGACCATAAAGAGAAAGTAAAGTGAAATCCAGCTTCATACAGAGATAAATACAAACTCCACTAAAGACACTACACTACAGAAAGTGAAAAATGAGAGCCACTGCATCAACAACACAATTCCAGGTAAGCAGTCAGTGTTCCCCAGATACGGTTTTTTAAAATGTGCAGTTAGTTTTAGTACTTGGAATTGGTGTGCAAATTAATTTGCATTTGGGCTTAAGACAGAGGCAATGAGATCAAGACAAAATGAAACAAAATGCACTTGAATTCTTTTTGTCAATCATCAAAGACTGAAAAAAAAAATTATGTTCCATTTGAAAGATAGATGTCTCAGAAAACAAAATTTTATGAAAATCAGAAATTAGTTTTTTTTACTTCCTTGGTGGTCCAGTAGCTAAGACTCTGGACTCCCAATGCAGGGGGCCCTGGTTCAATCCCAGGTCAGGGAACTAGATTCCACATGCCACAACTAAGGATTTGTATGCTGCAACTTAAAAAAAATCTCACATCGCACAAAGAAGGATCCAGCATGTTGCAACTAAGACCTAACGCAGCCAAATAAATACATAAATATTTTTTAAAAAATAAATTTTTTTCCTGCAGAGTCTGGTCTCATTGTTTAGCAAATAATGTGTTATTTTAATTCTGATTGGAGGCAATTTTGTTTGGGACCTGGACAAACATTTCATGGGATGATAGATACAAATAAAAACCAAGTAATTCTCCTAGAGGTAGCCCTCCTGCCACGGAATGCTACGAAGTGAGAGAACTTAGATGGGTTTATAAACAAGTTTCCTGTAAAGGATCTTGAAGGGAATGATCTCATTTGGCCCTACATTACTAACCGCTGCTCCTTGCCAGGCTTCTCTCTACCACCGTTGTACAGCCCAGGAGACCGATGCCCAGAGAAGTTCAGTGATGGCTCAAGGCTACATGCTGATGTCAAAGCCTGGCCTTGTGTTCACGCTTCCTGACACTTACTTAAATTTACTGTAATTCACTATTCTGCCAATGGAAAATGTGTATGTCTGTGCATGACTACATGTGCTGTGTTCAGTCATGTCTGACTCTTTGTGACTCTTTTGGACTATAGCCCCCAGGCTCCTCTGTCCATGGGACTTTTCTGGCAAGAATACTGGAATGGGTTGCCATTTCCTTCTCTAGGGGGTCTTCCCGACCCAGAGATCAACCTGTGTCTCCTGTGGCTCTTGCATTGTAGGCTGACTCTTTACCGATGAGCCATCGGACATGCCACCAAAAAGTTATCTATGAAATTAGGAACTAAGGGTCTGATTTGTTGTTGTTTAGTCATTAAGTGTGTTCTACTCTTTTGCGACCCCATGGACAGGCTCCTCTGTCCATGGGCTTTCCCAGGCAAGAAAGATGGAATGAGTTACCATTTCCTTCTCCAGAGGATCTTCCCAAACCAGGGATTGAACCCACATCTCCCACATTGGCAGGTGGGTTCTTTACCTCTGAGCCACTGGGGAAACCCATATGTCTAATAACCTATCCTAATTAATTGGACCAACTTCAGAAAAAATTTCAACTAGCTTTCAAAGATCTTTGGATATGCTGTAAAAGGTACAGAAAGTCTTCATCTCTGCTTTAACTACTTGTGAAAGGTATGTGTACAGAGGACAGAATGTTCCAGAGACCCTTATTTAAAATATGCTCAAAAGTTGTAATCACTTAGTACAGCTAACAGTGTGTACACATCCTGTCCTCAGACTTGGCCTTTTAAAACCAGGAAAACTTAGCTCTTTTCCCTGATTCCCTTCCCACCCAGCCCTCCTGTCTCTGAATCTTGCTGTCTCCTACATATTCGAGGTTGGCTGAGTCAGTTATGGTAGATGGCATGAAAAGAGGGAATTATCACTGACTATATTTGCCTTTTCCCCTAGTGTATCTACATGGGTCCTTGACCTCCAGGATCTAATGCCTGAAGATCTGAGGTGCAGCTGATGTAATAACAATAGAAATAAAGCACACAATAAATGTAATGCACTTGAATTATCCCAAACTATCCCCCCTCACTCTGGTCTGTGGACAGTTGTCTCCCATAAACCCAGTCCCTGATGCCAAAAAGGTTGGGAACTGCTAGTCTACAACAGAGAAATAGTTAAAGGGCTATGGAACTTTCTTTAGGATTTAACTACCTGATGTGTGACCTTGCTAATGGCCAGTAAACTCCCCCCTTTCTCTTTGACCCTCTTCCTCCTAGCAGAAGAGAATTAGTTCATTATTTCTGTGAAAAAAAAAAAATGGTGAGCAGCTCTATTACTGTCCCGGTAGAGATAGAGAAATGGAAGATGTGTCTTTTTTTTTTACAAAGGAACTTGAAATTAATATAAGTATATGGTGTGAATTCATAAATACTTGACAGTTTAGCTGACTGATTCCAAAATAAAGGCTACAAGTAAATAACAAAGGTACCCTGAAATGACATAAACAGAGCTCACCCATTTTCTCATAGATGGCCTGGCAAAGTAGAGGAGACAGTGGAAGATTTAAACTTAGGAAGTCAGAGAAAATGCTCTAGGAATCCACAACTGACTTTATAATGTGTCCTATTTGTGAGGCAGCTACAGAGGTAAATAAATATCAATCGTGTACAGTATTGCCAAGTCTACACAAGCAAATTCCCATCATTCTGATTGGTGTTTTGCATACATATGGACTGTAAGATCAAGCCTGATATGTGTGATTTCTTACAATCATCAGTATATGAATCTGCCTTTCGCTGGCACCCGACACTGTGAAAGATGTTACATTTAGACTCTGCCTGACATCAAATGTGGGCATCATCTATGCCTGACTTCCGGCACCTGTCTCAGCTACTTCTCTCTGCTCAGTTAAAATATCCTCTAACAATGTCCTCATATGGACCATTTTCTCAAATGGAGGGTTTGGAAATGTTGTACCTAGGAAAGTTTTACAGGAAATATCTTTTGCATGGTGAAAGCCATTTAGAGCAAACCTACACATCTATAGAAACATTTGTACCAAAAAAGAAAAAGGAAAGTACCTCTCAGCATTTCACAGGATGCAGTGTGGAAATATCCCTAAAATGGACAAAGTCTAGTCCCAGCCAAACATGATTCTTTACTTGGGAAAAAAAAAAGAAAAAAAAAAAACCCGTCATATCCAGCTCCCTGCACGATGTAACCATCTCTTTCCTTCCTCACGTTTCTCCTTCAATTGACTCAATTTTCAGTCTTCTACCATTTCTCCAGTAAATTTTAGAATCTCTTCTTTTGCTTCTCCTAATCCCACTGCAATCCAATTTCCACACCTGTTTTGGTCTCCTCACAGCCCTCTCTCGTCCCATTTACTGGCAGAAAGTCCCTGTAGACGCCAGACAGGTGAGGGAACAGCTTCTTCTCGGAAGTGGTCCGGCTTTTCTCACCTCTAAGCCTCGCCTCCACTTTGGCTGTGGCTTGGGCTCCTTCAGCGATGCGGCTCTTAAGAAGGGGTGGAAGATGCGCCCGGGAAAAAAGACACAGTTGGTGTGCTAGGGATGCCCGGTACGACTGGGAAATGGCAGACTGAAAATCAGTGAGGAGAAGGAATTCAAGAAACTGGCTTGCCCCCCCCCCCCGCCCCCCCCGCGGCGTCAATACACATGGGAAGGTCAGACTCAAAACAAATCCTCAGAAGCTGAAAGTGGACACAGAGTCCACGGAGCCAGTCACGGAAGAGGGATGTGAAGGATGCGAAGCGCAGCGGGGGCCAGTTCAGAGACTAGGGCGGCCAACCCTGAGAACGTTCCAGGATCAGAGAGGCATTGTAGGAGTCTTGAGGTTAGTCAGGGTTCTGTGAATTGAAGCGTGCGGGTCTAAAGTGGAGGACTGTGTTCTGTTCAGGTTTGCAGGAAGGAGAGGACTGAGGGTCCGTGTTAGGTCAAGTAATGTAGCATCACCTGTTTCAGCTCAAAGCGGTGGAACGCAGAAAGAATTCAACCTGTCAAAGACCTGTGTTTCCTTTCCTCCCAGGAAAGTTCTTTGTTCCTCCAAACTTAAGGATATTGTTATTTTTCCTCTTCTTAAACTCTTCTTAAGATCAAGGAAATTAGCTCCAGGCAAAAATGGAAATAAATATAAAATACAAATATAATACATAAACTAACATGTGTGTATATACTCTTAAAACTGAATACATATATATCTCTTTGAAATTTGATATATGAGATAAGAATTATATATATATATATATAATTAGATGAAGAATTCTTAACACAGAAATTTAAGAAACCTAGGGCATTGGTATTGTTCATATTAAGTGCTCTTGAATACTGAAGTGTTTGGAAAAGAATAAGGGAAAATAGCTGATCTATGATAATGATACCATAGAATCAGAGGAAAATATAATGAAGAAAAAAAAGCTGCCCTTAAAAAAATTGACATATGGAAAATGTACAAGTATTTGCATGGTTTTATTCATTTCTTTTCTTAAAAACTATTTTTTTTTTCAGAGTACTGAGGAAATATTTTTAGACTACACCACATGAAAAACATATATTTTCAGATAGTCACACTTGGTGGTAAATTAGCTTTGTGTATGTATCTTCTGGGCATTGGGGTAAACATTTAACCACGAATATCAATAATAAGTTTTTTTCACTCAGCATAATAGTCTTCAAAACGTAGGCCTGTGTTTATAGATTAAGATTAAATCAAGGAGAGAATTGGGTAATTGTTAAGCCATAATGACCTCTCTCTTTCCTAAAAATGAAATAAATCTAACAGGAATTCCTTTTAACTAAGCCCTTGAGAGAGTGGTTACATTAGTTAGTGTTTGCAGAGATTGTTAAACTGGAGCAAGAATTAGCTATTTGTTTCTGGGTCACTTTGCTTTAATATTTTAATGACACTATAAATTTTGGAGCTAATTAACATAAGAAATAGTTCCAACCAGTTTTCTTAAATATTCTCAGACATTTAACGAAAAGTTTCAGAAAATCAGACTTATGTTTCAAAATATGTCCAGTTTGCATCAACAGTATCTCACCTTCCATCTAGAATCACTTCAAGCTAAAAGATAAAGTAAAAGGAACTGGATCTACCCCTTTGCCTGAAACAACAGAAAACAAAAACAAAATCCCCAAATAGACAAAATCACGTGAAATAACAGTTTTCATAACATTGGACATTAGACAACAAAGGACAGTGATCCCCGAGGGCCGGCAGACTAATGAGGTAAGCTCAACTATTGTCCCAGCGGCCGCCTCGGCCAGCTACAAGCCACTGTGTAGAGATGGGGAACCCAGGCAGAGGCTGTTGGTCTTACTGCCTTGTGGCGAAGGAGCTGAGAGTCAAGGGGACAAATGCAGCTAGAATTCACAGGATACCATACAATTAGGAGATATCTGCAGAGAGAGAGAAACAGAGGGAGACAGAGAGGAGGAGAGACAGCAGACTCTATAGGTGTGCAGAGGGTCTCCTCTGGTCTCTACCTGAATATGGGCCGTATTGTACATGTGAGGAGACTACTTGAAGACAGGAAGAAAAAAAAACATTTTAAATGATTAAAAGATATGTAATGGAACTATAAAGAAATATGCAGTTGATTAAAAACATAGCAGATAAAGAGAGAAAAAGAAATAAAGAATAGTAGGACAAACAGAAAACAAATAGAAAGATAATAAATTTATGTTTATGTACAATGATAATTATATTAAATGTAAATGGTTTAGATATTCTGAAAGGCAGAGGTCCTTAAATTACAAAAAAGTAAGACCCAACTAGACACTGTCTGAAAGAAGCACGTTTTAAATATAAAGGCAGAAATAGTTTAAAAGTGAAAGAATCACAAAAATATACAATGCAAAAACTAATTTTTAAAAGTTAGAGTGGCTATATCAGCATTAGACAAAGTAGATCTCCAGGCAAAGAATATTAATAAGGATAGAAAAAGGTCATAATGATTAAGGGGTCAATTAATCAACAGGACACAATAATTTTAAATATTTATGCGTGTAATAAAAGAGCTTTAAAATTCATGAAGCAAAAACTGACAGAGATTTAAGGAGAAATAGGTAAGTCTACATTTATAATAAGAGATTTTTATACTCTTCTGTTAATAATTGGTAGAATAAGCAGATAGGAAATCAGTTAGGATATAGAAGATGTGAACAATACTACAACCCCTGGATCTAACTGACATCTACAGGAAGCTTAAGCCAATGACTTTGTATAAACCATCTTTTCAAGTATCCATGGTATTTACCAAGATATATTCTATCATTATAAAGCCTCAATACTCAATTTAAAAGGATCCAAGTAACATTATGTATGCTCTCTGACCACCAGTCAAAGAAATTAGAAAACAGTAAGAAAGAGATGCTTGGAAAATTGATCATTGGAAATAAGAATATATAATGCATCTATTAAATAAATTGGATTTGTTGTTAAAAAACCTTCCCGTAAAGAAAACTTCAGGCTCAGATTGTTTCATTTGTGAATTCTACCAAATATTTAAGGAAGAAGTTATACCAAGTCTACACAAAAGCAGGGATAGAGTGACTACTTCCTAACCTATTATATGAAGCCAGCATTGTGCTAACATCAGAAACAAAGACATTACCAGATCAAGGTAAGTATAAGCATGATATCCTTAAAAACATACATGCAAAATTCCAAGTAGAATTTTAGCAAATCAAGCCCCCCAAATTGGGGTTATCTCAGGAAAGCTGTTTAACAGTAAAAAAAAAAAATCAACGTGGTTCATCATATTAACAAGCTAATGTTAATATGTTTATATTATAATAATGCCATAATTATCACACATAATAATGTTAATATAAAGATAAAACAAATAATCATCTCAATGGACACAGAAAAGCACTTGACAAAAATCCAGCATCTATCCTTGATTAGAGAACAAACAAAAAACTTCAACAGACTAGAAGCACAAGGGGACTTCCTCAACCAAATTAAGGGCAATTTACCTGCAGTTAACATTTTCTTCCAAAAATGTTTTAAAAATTAATGAGAGATCAGTTTGAGCAATGGATCCAGGGAAGGATCTTTGAGAAAGGAGGGCTGAGGATTGTTGCTTGACATGGATTTGTCCCTATTTTCTAGCACTGGAACTTATGAAATGCTTTGTCTAGGGCAGTTGGCAATTTCTGCCTCCAGTCTGCATTCACTGCCTTCAGCCTGTACCACCCTTCACTTGGCTGGCTGATTGCTCTCTCTTCTGACTAATGATACATGGATTTGGCCTCAAAGATAGCACAGACACAAATCTCCTTGGGATTCCTTTAATAAATTGTTTCCTAAATTATCAGTCGGAATGCGGTCTAATTTTTGTTGTCATGCATGATTTGGGGTACAGTCTTGCTGAACCCCATAAATCCTTTTGCATCTGAATCATTACAGGAATTGGTTTCACTATTTTCAGACATAATCTCATTTGAATCTGGAATATGGGCTCCTGAGTCATCATTCCTAAATTTCTGAGCTAATCTGAGCTTTGTGATGATAATAGTTATAAATCTGTATTTAGTGTAGACCCTTTCATCTTCAACGTGCTTGGCAAATATTACTTAATGAGCCCTCCAGTCTTCAAGAAAATACCACTGCACCATTTTTAAAATGAGATGTAAAGGAAAAAAAAATGAAGTTTATAGTTCATTAGCTTGAAGCTAAAGTGTGGGAATTAAACCTAGAACCTGCTCCAGTTATGTGTCCAGTTATGTAGGTATTTGAGGTCATACCTACACCAGAGGACTTCAGCAAAGTCATAAGTTCTAGTTATCTTCTTTTGCAAGGATGTGTATTATAAATGCTGTTACTTTAAAGGGCTGGGATTTCTTTTTAGGCACTGATATTCCCTCTATCTAAAGAATTAACCTACAAATCTTGAGTAATGCCTAGGAAGTAGTAACCTCATATTTTGAAGAAACTTCTGGTTCTTATGCCAGTATAAGAGTATAGATGCCCATTCACAGTTGTCAGTACAGGAAGGTCTAGCTGGAAGCCTTTCTTGATCCTTTGGATTCAGACCATTTTTACAATAAGAAATGGAGACTATCTGCATGCATGATCAAACTCTACCCAAAGTCCCTTTATTGGTGAAGCCTAAATTTCATATCCCTTGCCTTCAAATTACTCACCCTAATAATCTGGAGGGCTTCCCAGGTAGCTCAGCTGGTAAAGAATCTGCCTACAGTGCAGGAGACCCTGGTTCAACTCCTGGGTTGGGACTTTCCCCTGGAGAAGGGAGAGGCTACCCATGCCAGTATTCTTGGGCTTTTCTGGTGGCTCAGACGGTAAAGAGTCCTCCTGCAATGCAGGAGACCTGGATTTGACCCCTGGGTTGGGAAGATGCCCTGGAGGAGGGCACGGCAACCCACTCCAGTATTCCTACCTGGGGAATCCCCATGGACAGAAGAGCCTGGCGGGCTACAGTTCATGGGGTCGCAAAGAGTCAGACACAACTGAGCGACTAAGCATGCAAT